TCATCTAGGGTAAGGAACAGAGGGTGCCCAGGCCTCAGGACTAAGAGTCCTTGGGCCTGAGGCCAAGGCGGGGTCAAGGAGCAGGAGGGGAGCCATCTTGGCAGAAGGCCAGGGCCCCCCTGGAGACTCAAACTTGTTTCTTACTCCTTTCCTTCCTTTGTGGCCAGCGTGGCTGCCAGGACAGGCAGGGGAAGCCACGGGTGGGGACCCGGAGGTGGAGAGCTTTCGTGACAATTTCATTAGAGCTCCTGCGTGTGGTTGCACAGTGTAGACACTGGACCAGTTCTCAGGGATCACCCACTAGTGATCTGACCCGCTCTCTGAGGAAGGCCAGCACGTCCCCATTTCCCTGAGGCGGGAACTAAGACACAGAGCAGGGGCCACAGTGCCTGAAGCCCACAGAGCTTGTCAGTGACAGGGCTGGCAGAGAACCCAAACTGTTGGCCTAAAGGGGGCCACTGGGGGTGGGGATTGGAAGGGGGAGAGGCAGAGAAATGAAATTTGAACAGGTTAAAAAAGGCCCAAGCTATCTCAGGAAGTGGGGGTTCAGGAAGGCATGAGGAGTCAGAAGTCAGCCCCTGGGGGCTAGAGAAATGGCTTAGAGGTTAAGAGCACCGACTGCTCTTCCAGAGGTCCTGAGTTCAATTCCCAGCAACCACATGGTGGCTCACAACCATCTGTAATAAGGTCTGGTGCCCTCTTCTGGTCATACATGCTGTACACATAATAAATAAATAAATCTTTAAAAAAAAAAAAAAAAGAAGTCAGCCCCCAAACTCCACACAGTACAACCCCACTTGTCTTCCCAGCGTCACCTCCCATCTCTACCTCCCCCTCTTTCTGCCCCAGCCACAGCACAGTGTGCATCCACCCTGAGCACATGACATGGCTGAAGCCTTTTACACATGCTGTACACAGTACCCACAAAGTTGTTCCCTCCACTAGAGAGCTCACATCATCTAGCTCTTCATTCTTCCCTCTGAGTCCTAGGAGTCGCCCTGATGCTCTGGGTTCACTCCGCACCCGAGGGGCAGGAACTCGTGGGAGTCGTCTCTGCCCCTAGACTCTAACCCCCAAGCCCATGCTCCATAGAGATTCACTGTCTCTAGTCTTTCACCCCTGAATCTGAGAGACACGCAAAACAGGTTTTTATGTGTTTGCATTCAAGGAAAAGGAGGGTAAGGGAGAGGCTGACATGGACAGGCCTAGAGCCCAGGGTTTCTCTGTACCACACAGACCATGTCAGGCACCGACACTAAGAACGCATATCCCAGCCAGACCCACCAGAATCACACAAAGGAATCCCCAAGACAGGAGGATAAGTCCTGGGGGCCAGAAACCGAGCCTCGATGTCCAGCTCAGACATGGAGTCCAAGAGGGAAGGTGCTGAGACACAGCTAAGTGGCTTCCTTCCCTACCCCTGCTCTGTCTCCCCTGCTCAGGTACACCCCTCAGCCAAAGTATCCCCTGGATCCAAATCACCCCAGGCCCCAAGGCCTCTCTCATCTCAGTCCTCGCTTGCCTGTCCACTGCAGTCCATCATTATGCCCCCCTGACCCTGCCTCCTACACAGATCTGACATCTCCCGCTGCTGCGTGGCACAGTTCCCAGGCCAATATCACAACACTCCTCCCCTAAACAGATGGCCCTGACTCTGCTCTCCTTGTGTAACATCCAATGGCTCCCACTGCCCTGGGGTCAGGTCTCCGATTCTCCCGAGCCTGTCTTGGGAGGGGCATTTCCCCAGGTGCTGGTACCATTCCACATCTTGGCATGCACAGTTCCTCCCGGAGGAATAGCCTTCCTTTCTCCTCGCCTCTGCCTAAGATCACCTATTCACACTTCAGCGTCAGTCAAAGCTGGATACAGTGCTTTGAGGGCCCTTCAGACCAATTAGACACTGAGCTCCCCCCAGAGGCAGAGGAAAGGGTCCATACAGAGTCCCTCTAGCCCCACACCAGCATGGGGCCTGGCACAGACTGGACACCAGAAAAAGCAGGTGGCTAGGAAATGGAGGTGCATTCTTACCTCTATGAAGCCACCTCCCCACCCCCTTTCCCCTCCATGTACCTTTTGGAACCTGTCAAACTAGATTGCTATCCACTTGCTCCCAGCAGTGCCCTCCCAGACCTGATTTCTACTGTCCCAAAAGGGACATCTTTACATTCTCAGAACGATGCCCATAATCATAATTATAGTAATAACAACCATTACCACCATTTATTGGGTGCTCAGTGTGTGCCTGGTTATTTCATCCTCACAAGAACCCTAGGAGGGAAGGAGTTGTTTTATTGTCCTCATTTAACAGATAGGGAAACTGAGGCTCCAAGAAGCTATCTTGCCTAAGGGCACACAACTAGTAAGCACTCAGGGCTGGGTTCACAGCCAGGTCTGTCTGACCTACGGCCACTGTGCTGCCCAGCAGCCTCCTGATTTCTATAATCTCACCTCCTGGAACTTAGCACAGCAGCTCCGCTCCCACCAGCCTGCAGCTGGGCACCAGAGGTGGACAGAGAGGACACTGACACAGTACTGCTTTTTAGGGGGGATAACATGGCTGGGGGTTAAGAGCACTGGCTGCTCTTTCAGAGGTCCTGGGTGTGATTCCCAACACCCACATGGGAGCTCACAACAGTCTGTAACTCCAGTTCCAGAGGATCTGACACGCTCTTCTGGCCTCCGAGGGCAGCAGGCACACATGGTATGCACAGACATACATGCAGACAAAACACTAATACACATAAAATAAAACTCAATATTTTGTGTAGGAAAAAAAGGTCACTGGGAGGAAGACAAGAGGTCATGTGCCTGGAGGAGCAGACAGGGCCAGTGAGAGAGATGGGCTCAGTGGGTAAGGCACGTGCCCAAGGAACCGAGTTCAATCCACAGGGAAGGGAGCAAGTTCCCAAAACTTGTCCTCTGACTTCCCCATGTGAGCTGTGACACAGAAGCATCCTGACTCCCTCATTCACACACATGCACATGTTCTCTCTCTCTCTCTCCCTCTCCCTCTTCCTCTCTCTCTCTCTCTCTCTCTCTCACACACACACACACACACACAGACACACAAAAATAATAATAATAATGGTAATAATACAATTTAAAATTTAGAAATAAATTTTAAAAATAAGTTAAAATGAACGGATTAAAATAAAGCATCAAAAACCCGGAATATGGAAAATAAGATAATTGACAGTGATACATATGACTTGAACTTCTCAGGACACCTATACTTAGGGGGACAAAATTCTCCAGGATCCTTTGTTGTGGAATATTACTTTAACTAGGCAAAGATGTGTTACATTTGTCTGTGTTGTGCAATAATTCTTTAACTATGTAAAGGTGTGTTACATTTGTTTAGTGATGTAAAGATGTATTGCTTTGCCTGCCTAAGGTACCTGATTGGTCTAATAAAAAACTGAACAGCCAATAGCTAGGCAGGAGAGGGATAGGTGGGGTTGGTGGGCAGAGAGAATAAGTAGAAGGAGGAATCTAGACTCGAGGTGAGAGAGAGAGAGAAAGAAAGAAGAGAGCGAGTGAGAAAGAGCGGGAGATACCAGCCAGCAACAGAGTAGAACATACAGAATGAAAGGTAAAAAGCCCTGAGGCAAAACATAAATAAAGAGAAACAGGTTAAATTAAGTTATAAGAGCTAGTGGGACAAACATAAGATAAGGCCAAGCATTCATAATTAATAATAAGTCTCCATGTCCTGATTTGGGAGCTGGTTGGTAGCCCAAAAGAAAGACTGCTACAGCCCTTCCCCCAGCTAAAGCCACGTGAGCAATAATCCTAATGCTTATCTACCTGTCTATTCGAGTCAAACAACCCTCCGAGGGAAGAGTCATTTATTAACCCTGTTTCACAGGCCAGGCCACCAAGGCTAAGAAAGGCCACGGAGCCAGGTCACACAGTCAATCATACCAGGCAGAGCCCAGTCCGCATTCCAGTGCAGGGGCATTCGGGGACTCCCGAACCCTGGATTCCAGCCCAGCTAATAAGAGTTAAAATTAGGAGTAAGGAGCTAAAAGGATGAACATTTCTCTGAACTCTCTTCCAGAAGGAGCCTAGGCTGAGGAAGCCAAATATCAGCCTCATGCTGGGCTGCTTCTGGATGCTCCTTCCCAAACCCACTGGGGGAAAGTCTTGTGATATGTATGTCACAGATGAGGTCACAAGATCCAGCTACCACTTGCCCAAGGTCCACCACTAGGAAAATGACAATAACTCAGAATCCCTCCTCACCCCTCCCACCTTCAGGCCAAACCTTCCCGACTGCCCCTTGGGAAGTTTCCCATCAGAAGAAAGCAAAGGCTTTGCCAGGCCCACCCTCCCAGGAGGTCCAGTTGCTTTTCACAGCCGCTAAAGAATTCACAATTGTGCGATGAGATAAGGGTCTCACATTCTCTGAGCCTCAAAGATAGTGGACATTTTGTATCCATCTTACATTTTCTGAGCCTCAAAGATAGTGGATATTTTGTATCCACTAACTGTTCGTTTAGTTCAACACACAGCACATGGTGGGATACCTAGTAGAGCCTCAACAAATGTCTTCGTTCATTCAGAAATGTCAACTGAGCACCTACTACATGCCATTCTGTCCTTGGTGCTAGAGACACAGCCGTGGAACAGATGAACAAAACCCCTGCCCTGGTGGGGCCTGTATATATAGGAGCAAATACATATGTCTAGAAGGTATCAATATTCTCCTTTTGCAGACGTGAAACTGTGGTACAAAGAGCCACCCATTTGTAAGTGGCAGAGTAAGGATTCTATTCCAAGCCATCTGCCCTAAAGCCCTCTGGGTCTTTGTCAGGCCACCCCTGAATCACTACCCATTATGTCAAATATCAAGAAAGAAATGACTCACTATCTTAACTCCAGAGAGTACCTTCTCTCAGCACTTCTGCCCTGACCTCTTGTGCCTCCCGGTGGCCCCAGAGGCACATGCATGCATCAGAATGGCACAGAACGGCCGGTTACGTCAAAGCAGTACTTACCCAGAAGTAGCCGTTGTGGTCACACAGCCAGTCAGGGAGAGGCAGTGGAGCCATCGTCAGAGTGGCACATGGAAACAAAAGACAGAGTGAGACACGGCACAAATACCAAACTCTGGGGTCCTGATCAGCTAGACCTGGGCCAGTGGGGAACCTGCCTCCCCCACCACCCGGGGTGCCTCTGGCACTCTGATGACCAGATACTATCCAGGAAGCTATCATCTGGGCCCAGTCTCCTATGGACATCCATAGCATCACCAGGTGCCAGGTACTGGGAATGCAGCCTGAAGTCAGACAGGGCCTTAACCTTATGAACCTAAAGTGCAGCGTGGAGGTGTAAATTCCCTAAATTACTGCTGTGATGCATGCATCGAGGCGACCGTAAGTACCTGGGTCAAATCCTGCCTCTACCATTTACAGCTCTACCACTGGTGTCATTCGGGGGATTTCCTAATTTCTCCATGCCTCCTTCACTTACCTGAAACATACGGAGCAGCATCCGGATCCACAACTTAGGGCTAGGCAGGACTCTAAGAGTTCACCTATGAGAACCTTTTTGAACAATGCTTGGCATACAATTTGTTCATAACCTGTAGCCACTATGACTACAAAGGGCTGTAGGCAGGGGCCTTGGAGGGACCTCGAGTGGGTGAGGCCACCATATTCCCAACAGGAATGCTGCTGTTGGGACCGAGGGAGATAAGAAGTGAAGTCTGGGCACAATGCCTGGGTGCTTCAATGGCTCTGTAAGCACTGCTGTTCACCTTAGGGTGTTCTCCAGCACGCCCCCACCATGAGAAGTTCATCAGGGCTATGGCAAGTGCCCCTCCCCACAAACACACCCGGCACTGCAGCTTTGAACTGAAAAATGACCAGCCACCATAGTCTCCCAATTCTACATCCGTTCCAGCTTGCTCTTCACAGTCACCCAGAACACTGTGACGGTGAAATCGTTACTGTTTCCATTTTACAGACAAGGACAGAGGGTGAAGGAACTCCCTGTGTGTCCTTGGTGGCATCGTTTGGGTCTCCAGCCTACTGACGTGAGTAGAGGTCACGTTCACGTGGATTATGTCGTCTAGATTCCCCTCATTTCTCCCGCGGGGTCTCAGCAGTGCTGGCTGCAGTCCAGACAAGCCTTTGACCTCTTCCCTCTGGAACTGTCATTGTCCGGCAGCCAGCTTTAGGACACAAGCTGCTCCTGAAACCACCCCTCCAGGCTCAGTCATTGGCGCCATGACCCCTGGTCTATCCCTATAGCTGACCTCAGCCACTCATCGATAGGTTGAGCGATGTCTACATTCACTCGAATCCACATGTTACAGATGGGGAAACTGAGGCCCCAGATGGATCCAAGATTACTTTCCAGCTCTTGCACCAGACAGTCCAAATAAACCCCAGTGGGCCCTGCGATGCACATGTCCCCCATCTTTCTCCAACCTGTTTCCAGATCCCCAGCTCAAACATCCCGGAGCTCAGAGCTCGATCCAGAAGTCATGAGGCACTTCTATAGGTTAGGACTGAGGAATGGAAGTATCTCAGTGGGAATGGAGTACTGTGAAATGAAGGCTTCCTGTCTTAGGGAAGATGGGGCTTTGGAGTCGGCTCTAAGTTCAAATCCCAAGCCGGCCACTTCATAGCTGTGTGGCTTTGGTCAAGGCAGTTTGACCCCATGAACTCCTATGAAACAAGGGTGATGCTTCATGAGGTGCTAAGGATTAAGTGAGTTAATGCTACACACACCCTTAGAACAGTCAATAGGCAATGGCCCTAACTAATTACAGAACAAGGCCAAAAACAGGGTCTGTGGGCTCACTACATACAGCCTCAGTCTAACCCCATTCTATCTCCTCACACAGTTATGAGTCTAAGTTCAAAACAGTTCATGAGGCATGATCATTTTCTACTGTCAAAAGTCACCAGCACAGGGCTACAAGATGGCTCAGCGGTGAAGAGCACTGACTGCTCTTCCAGAGGACCCGGGGACCCAGGTTCAATTCCCAGCACCCACATGGCAGCTGACAATTGTCTATAACTCCAAGATCTGACACCTTCACATAGACATACATGCAGGCAAAAGCACCAATGCAAATAAAATAAAAATAAATAAAATTATATATATATTTAAAGTCACCAATACAGGAATGCTAGGACACACAGAGACCATAGGCTCATTTCCCTCTCCATAGTATAAAGGGAAGCTGAGATCCAGGAGGAAAAGTACCTGGTCCACAGACTATGAAAGGATGGAATCCTGCCCTATGATAAACTGTAGGCCCTGGGGAAATTCTGAACACACACACACAAGCACATGCACTCACATACACACACACCGACCTGTCATACAAACCCAATCGGCAAACCCAACAGATCTCAGCCACGACAGCCTTGGCAAGGAGGCCTATGTGAGTGTCCTATCCAGTTCTGTTGCTAGGAAACCTGGATGGCACATAGTAGGTGCTCAGGAGGCTTAGGAAACAACCAAATGAGGTTTTCTGTCTTCAGTCTGAGGGTCCTTGCTAGGCCTCTCCCTTTGTATTTTCTCTCCTGATCCCCACCCTAGCCTCTGTCTCACCCCGCACCCGGGTCCTCTCAGCTGGGCCTAGCTCCAGCTCACAGAGTGCTGGGCCTGCTCCGAGTCAGCATCTTCCCAGCCAGCCTGGGATATTCCTACCCAGCCAGCCAGGCCCCTGGCCAGGGTCCACTGCGGAGCAGTGCAGGCTCGGCCTCATCCCCACCGGCCTCTAGGTGGGGCAACCTGGTAGTCCTAGGAGCGTCTGTGGGTACCCAGGGCCCACAGAGGGAAGTCAGCCTGGTCCAGACAGTGCAGGGACATGTTGATCAGGAGACTGCCCGGGTGTGGGGTGCCACCCACACATCCAGCCACTCCACCCAAGTCCCATGTTGCTGGGACCTAGCAGGTGCTGACTAAATCTCCTGTATACACAGGGAAACCTCAGGTCCCACCCACCCCCACCCCTGACCTCCACTCCATTCCCTTCTCAAAACACCCCACACTGGTGTGTTCTCATACCAGCCACCAGTCCGGCCCCTGCAGACTTTTTGATTCATCTGATGCCTATAAGGTCCAGATTATTGGCGAAAGGGGCTGGGAGAGGGCAAGTGACTTAGGCAAGGTCACACAGTAACAGCTGGCCCGGGACTCAAACCTCGTTCTTCTGCGTGTAAAACCTGTGCGGTTCTGACAGTACCCTCCCTCTCTGTTCCCTATAGTGTCTGGTTCCCTTTCTTCCCAGACCTTGCACCTCCTTCTGCAATCTCCCTCTCCCGTTCCCACCTCACAACTTGCTCTAACACCTCGTTTCTGTGCACCCAACAGCAGCAGGGACCAGAGGCTGCCACTGAAAGCTATTTCTGGGGTCTGTCTCTGGCTTAAGAGGGTCTTGATGGCAAGAAGTAACCCCAACAGGTGCTCCTTAAACACAATGTCTGCTGTTTCTACTTCTCTTCCTCCTCCATCCCCAAGCAAGTCTGGCCTCCCTTCCCCAGCCCAGCCCAGCCCCCTGCCAGCATCGACCTCCAGGGCCCGAGCCCGGGTGTGGATGTGGAGACGAGAATTGACTGGTGTTGGGGAAGAAGAGGTTCTGCGACAGTGCTCTGGCCTCTCCCTCTCCCCTTCAATAGCTGAGGACCCGACCCTGACTTGGCACCAAGCAGCTATCCCTGGAACTCCCAGCTGCCCTAAAGCCCACCCCGACCAGCCATTCTCCCCAAGCCTCTACGTTTGGGAGAAGGCTCCGGGGAAGAGAAGGGGCTATCGCTTACATGCAGCCATTCCCTCCCAGGGGAATCCAAGGGCCCTGAAATAACTACACAACCCATGAGGTTTCCTCCCCTCCCGCGCCTTTCTCAGCAGATTCGGCCTGGGGTCCATCGAAACAAGTCCCCGCCTCCAGCCCGCAGGGCTGCGGGGGTCCGGTCCTCCCCAAAGAGGTGGGGCCTGCAGGGAAGTGCGGCTTGAAGACAACTCTTGGGGAAGCACGGAGGGCAGACAGGGAAATATGTTAGACAGGGAACCCCGAAATGGCAGAGTAGGAGCCTGGCCCCGAGCAGACCAGGAGACCTGAGGCAGAGGAAGTCCCAGCCTGGACGCGAGTGCGTGCGTCCGGGCGGCGACCCGAGGGCCACCCTGACGAGCGGAGCCAGGGTCGCACCTCGCGGGTGCCGGGGTCCAGAACCTCAGTCAGTTACGTAAGGACCCGAGCGGGGTTCCCAGGGTCCCCCACCCACCGTTCTCTAGGCCGCCAGGAGCCCGCGGGGCGCGCAGGGCGGGGCTGGCCGGACGGCCTGGGGCTGCGCCACGGCGCAGAGACCCGCTGCGGACACCCACGACGGGACTCCGGTTCCGGAGCGAGCTCCTGCACGCCGTCTCCCGAGCTCCGCGCACCCTCAACTTTGAGACTCCAGAACCCCTGGGGACCTCAAGTTCGGAGCATGCAGCCCAGGACCTCCAGCACTCACGCCGGGGATTCCGTGACCCTCGGCTCGCCGCTCCCGGGATGGCCCGGGCCCTGGGGAGCGGGCTACTGGGTCCTGAACCTTGTCCCTCCCAGGCACCGGGGGCCACCCCCTAAGGCGGTCCAGACTCACCTGGGCTGCACAGGGGAGAGACCTGGCAGGGACCTGGCCAGGCCGGGCCGGGCCGCGTCCTCGCTCTCCGCGACTCTCTCCCTTTAAGAGGTTCCTGCCACTTTGCCCCGCCGGGGGCCTCCACCTGCACTGACAGGGCAACTCTGATGCGAGGCCCCGCCCTCCCCTCGGGAGGTCCTCTAATTGGTGCAGACAACTGCCAATCTCTGGGGCGGCGGGCAGGACCCAGCACAACAGCCCGACTGTCGCAACCGGGAAGGGGCGGGAGCTGCAGGTGCGGCCAGCCTGGGACGCCCAGCCTAGGGCAGCTCCTGATAGACTCCGAGCGCTCAGGGGAGGGGAAGCACGGAGTTCCTGGATTGGTCGGTGTGGCCGCTGACGTCATGCGGCAAAAGTATAAAGCCATTTGCCACGTGGTGCTGACCCTAAGGCGTTAGGTTGGACTGGAGGTAGTTCTTAGGGAGTTGGGGAAGTGACCTTGACGTTAGACTTACCTGGATCACCTGTCTCACCACTCCATTCTGTGTGACCTTGAGCAAGTCACTTCTCTGAGTTTCCTCAACTAGAAATCCTCTGCTGTTTTCTTGAGAATGAGTGGTATTTGTTAAATACCAATCGCGAGTCTGGGGGCCCAAGAAGGTGTTCATTAACTGGAGTTGTGGATTCTCTTGTGCCCACCCTGTCCCTTAGGGACTTCCCCTCCTTTCTCCTAAGGAGCTGCCCCCATCAACCCTGGCAGGGTTAAGTGGTCACTGGCCTAAGACCCCTCTTCTCCCTCATTTCAGACCTGCCCTTGCTCACAGAGTGCCAAGGTCAGGAAGCTGGCCATCTCCCAGCATAGACTCATCCTAACTAAACCACCCCAGGATTTCAAAAGCTCTTCATGAGATTAAGGCCAAATCTGCCTTAGGATTCCCACCTCCAGAGGACAAACATAATCCCCCTTTTATGTGGAGAAATCAGAGACACATACAATCGTGGAATAGTCACGATACCAGGGAGCCCTGGAGAGTTAGTCTCTTGTTTGGACAAATGGGGAAACTGAGGATCACTGAGAGCAAAAAAAAACCTCCTGAGTTTTGGTGACATGAATGTTTTGTCATGTGGAAGAAGGTCACTCAGGGCACCAGAGAAGCCTTTGGACTCTTTGACCAGACATCTGGATATGTTTCAGTCCGAACTGTGTGAACCCCGAACAAAAACCTGGGACACACACACCTTCAGGCTCCGAAGCTGACCAATACTCCTCTCTCCCGCCCATCCATGCAGTGCTGGCCATTGGTCAAAGCTAGAAACTCCAACAGTTGAGTCTAGACTCTGCGCTTACCTCAGCATCAAGTCTGTGGGTAAACCTCTTCCCCAGGGGCCATAACCATAACACGCTGTAGCACCAACCTTGGGAAGAATTACTATGCTGCTTAAGTGAGAGTGAAAAATACATATGCAAAATTCAATCATGGATCCAGTATTATTTTTTTTTAATTGCTCCCACGTGTATTCACGCATGCCGGAAAGGGCAAACAGGCTATGAATCCGTTAATTTGGCCTCAGGAAACAGGGGCTCCCTTGCCAACAGCTTCTTCCTTTCCCTGGACCCAATCTAAGGGCTGAGGAGAGGAAAAGCCCAGCCTTGGGGTGGACGGAGATATTCTAAAGGGCCGCAGGAGGCCCCACCTCTCAGCTGGGGCACGTGGCTGCAGCTCTGTCGAGTTAAAGCTGCCGGTGGTGGTGACTCAGCAAGCCCAGCGGCTGCCCCAGCCCGATAAGTTTGTACTTGGGAAACACACAGGAGAATGTGTTGGTGAACTTGTGTGTTGGCTGCCGGTGTCCTGGGACTGGGGGCTGGGCTGGGGGTGGGTACGTGTGAGTTTATAGATGGGGCGACTCTTTCTGTGTGCCAGCCTCAGCTTGCCGGGCCTTGGGCTATCCGGACCTAGGGAGTTCTGTCCTGCACCTACACCTCTGTGCCCCAGGCCCCCGTGTGGGTTTCCTGTTGAGGCACTGTGTGGACAACCAGGCCCTTCTCGGTAACTCTACGGGGATAAAGGTTGCTGTCACTGTCCCTGAAAAGGGACATCTTAGCCTCTACAGCCTTCCTAGGGTCATACGTGAGAGGCTCCCCGGAGAGGTGACCTCCCGAAGGAACAGCTCACATTCACTCATCACTAGTATTTTATGTTCATCTGCTCGTTTTATAACGTCAGATTCTTCCAGTCAGAACGGCTTGAAGCTCAGAGAGCTGACCTGACAGCA